GGGGGGGGGAAGGATTGAACCCCAGGGGCACTCAAACACTGAGCCACATCCCCATCCCTTTTTATATTTTATTTTGAGACAGGGTCTAGGTAAGTTGCTCAGGGCCTCACTCAATTGCTGAAGCTGGCTTTGAACTTGGAATCCTCCTGCATCAGCCTCCCAAACTGCTGTGATTATAGGCACATGTCATCTTACCTAGCTAGTAATCCCACTTCTGGTGGTGGTTAACAGGATTCTACCTAATGCTCTTGCTCTTGAATTTTCATGTTTCTAAAAGTCATTTCTTCTGAAGTAAAATGACTTCTAATTTTTCTTTTTCTTTTTTACCAAGCTATCTCTGGTTATAGAAAGGCTTTTTCTTCTGTGCATGTGTTCATCTTACCATTTCATTAGGGCATACAAATGTCAAAATTATGAGGACATAATTTTGTGCTCATAATGTTCTTTCCAACAACACTTGAATACGGGAATTCAGTACAAGGTAAATTATGAGCATGCCCAACAATAGAGGTGTGGTGGATCCTACCCAGTGGGTTATGCTGATCATTGAAAAGTCAAAATCTAAATTCAGCCACATAATGTTATGTCATATATATAATTAAAATAGTAATAAATGAAAAATTACATTTTAAATTCTGCTGAAATATGTTTTACAAAACTATTTTCTGGAAATTCTTTGAAAACATGATCAGTGACTCCATTTTTCTTGCAAGGTATTAAATAATTAATTGGTATTATTCTTTAAAAAAGAGAAAAAGTCAGACTCCTTGAAAGACATTAACAATAATGCTTTTACAAAATCTCTCATTTCCTGTAAATACCAGACTGAGACAAAACCAGATATCACTCCCACAGGTTTCTTCTTTCTCTCCATTGGATTTTCCCTGTGGGTGAGCATCTGAGTTGATGTAGGTCCCTCCCATTGCAGGTGAGAAGACCACCTGCCTGTTTTCCAGGAGCAACCTGCCAAGAGTTCTCTTTAACCACTGAAGTAATGATTTTAATGACACCAGTCATAACCTCTTCTTCCCAGTCTTGGTGGGAAGAGTGTGAAACACAGCTAGTACTTCTTTCCCTGGCTCTGAGTGTCCATCTTGATAATGCCTAGTTACATGGGGCAAATGACTGCTGGTGGTGTATTTAGTAGGACTTGGGAACTTTTAAATTCTATTTAGTTTTAATCTATTTAAATTGAAGCACTGATACTTGATTCATTTATTAAGACAAATATTTGGGACAATTAAATATTTGACAGGAGAGTTTAATTTTCCAGTGGTAAATTTTATTACATCTAAATGCAGATTAAGAATCTCAAGAAAGAGTAGAGTATATAGGTCAACATATCCCATATATGTAAAATACTCACCAGATTTAGAAGACATACTGAGAAAAGGGGTTGTAAAATCTCAATAATAAAAAAACAATGAAAAAGTAATGAGTATTTTAAATACTATTGATCAATAAATATATGAAAAAATGTTCAACATCTGTA